CCTTAATGTTGAGAGAGGTTGGTTAGGAGAAATTAGGCCTTTGTGACTGTGCTGCCTAAAAGGACACAAAAGTCCCAGTTCCTTCCTTTTACGCCAGCCAGCATTTGGGTGGCAGATGATAAAAAATACGTAATCTGGGGGATATAATTTAGGGATTACTGAAAAATCATGGAGGAGAGATGAATGGTACACTAAAGTTTAGAAAGCATTAAAAAAAAAAAAAGAACGATACAGGTAGCCCTTGACTTATAACCATAATGGACCCAATTTTACAATTCTTTTTGTAAAGCAACTGCCGTGATCGATAAGAGACTGCTGTGCTTAAGAAGACCCACTGTTTGCTATATTTAGGTTTTCAGCAAAAAAGTTGTAAAATGCATTAATGAGGCCATGGGATATTGCAAATGGCCATAGGTGTGGGGCCAGTTGCTGAGCACCCCAAAAGGCAGTGATGCAACCATGGAGGGGAGGGAGACGGCGGCTGTCAGAACTTGGAACCAAGTCAGAAAGACCTCCATGGAGGTCCATCATGACTTTGCAGAGTCACTAGGTGACTGTTCATAAATCAAGGACTGTTCATAAATTTAATATCAACAGTTGCAGGTACTCCTCGACTTACAGCCATTCAGTGACCGTTCGAAGTTACAACGGCACTGAAAAAAGCGACTTATGACCGTTTTCACACTTACAACCGTTGCAGCCTCCCTGTAGTCACGTGATCAAAATTCAGATGCTTGGCAACTATGTCTCAGGATCTGACAAGCAAAGTCAATGGGGGAAGCCAGATTCACTTACCAACCGTTACTAACTTAACAACTGAAGTAATTCAGTTAACAAGGGGCAAGAAAGGTCATAAAATGGGGCAAAACTCACTTAACTGTCTCACTTAGCAATGGAAATTTGGGGCTCAGTTGTGGTCATAGGTCAAGAACTATTGTATCAATTTCATTGCTGTTTTTAACTGTTTTTATGACTACCGTGTTTTTCCAAGGAACACACCTCTAATTCCAAAACTCCCGTTTTGGTATCCTTTCATCCCAGTCTTTAAATACTTGCCCCAGTCACCAGGTTGACAATGATCTTTTCCAAGACCTGTTTTCCATTCTCCTCCCTTGCTCCTAAGTAGGAAAGTCTTGTGGAACAATGTTTGTGTTTTCTCACTCATACACGTACACATATCAAAGCGTTTTTTGGTATGTTTTGAAGTAGAACATATATTGATCAGCCGTCAGGTAAGCTAGTCTAAGATCTTTGAACCTTAGAGAGAAGAACGGTGGCACCTTTTGCCCTGGACACCCTCCATTAAACCAAGTGCTGAGAACTATAGGTAACATGGCTATTCTTTCGGAAGAAATTATCTATGTCTGGCAGAGTTACGTGCGGCTGGATCCCCCACGATGGCTCGCTGTGGTCCCAGAGAGGGCTAGTGCTGCTGGGACTGGGGGTCTCTCTCTGGAGGTCCTCAGTGGAATGGTAGCTCTCCAGTCCTGCAGGAGAAACGTCCAGAAACCAGTCATTGGAACGCTGAATCCAAAGTGGGACTGTAGTTGATGGCCTTGAGAGGACATCTGGTTGTCTGTTATTGCTTGTGGGCTCAATCCACAGCGTCCCTCCTTGCCTCCACACAGTCGGCACAGCTCCTGTTTCTTGGGGCAGGGACCCCCGGAAAACCCATTCACAGAGGACGGCTGAGACCACAATGAACACAGCTGCAACGATCGCCAAGCTTACCATGATCAGCAAGCAGTTACCACAATCACTTAGTGAGGAGGCAGTGGAAGGAGGTGGCATCTCAACACTTGTTGAGGGACCCAACATGACAGCGAATGGACAAGGACCAAGCCAGATCAAGTTGGCTGCATCTGGAACCAATATTACTTTTGTTAGAAAAAAGCTGCAGAAGAAAATGGGAGGAGACGGGCCAGAGAACTGTATGTAAAAGTGTTAGCAATCTTTGACGCAACTGAGGGATGTGAGAGAGTTGTGCAAACTTAGCCCAACAACTCAAAAACAGCTCATATTCGTCAGCCCAACAAAACCCTCTAAGTGCAATGGTTTATACCAGTACTAACTTGGTGCTTTCCCGATGTGTAGGATGAGATCTCCAAATACCCAGCCGTTGTAATTATTATTAGCTAGAAATTCTGTGAATTGTAGCCTAAAGACATTTGAAATGACTGAGAAAGGCTAGAACAAGAACTCTGCCTTGCAAATCCCAACCATTTTTAAAGTCCTTCTAAGCCAATTGCATCTTGTATCCCGGGGCAGTTTCCTCCAATTTGAACGATTTTAATACTAGGGCTATTTATTGCTTTGGATATACCATATATACCAAATATAGCGTATGTCTGCAACTTTTTAAAGCATCCGTATCTTTTCCTAGAATGTCATGACAGCTGCACAGGGCAGTTGTAAGATCCCAGAAGACATGGCTGCTTTAAAGAGTTGCAGGAAAGCATTATATTCGTGTCCGCACATGTTCCAAAGCACTTTTTGGAATCAATTCCAAATTGCTGTATAGCTGTACTCTACACCAGGCATATATAGGCCAAAATATCTGGACAACACAAGGTTAAAGGAGGCTGTCGTATCTTTTTCCATATAATTTTAGGTACAAACTTGCTGTGGTAGCCTTAAAAAAAATCTGAAGATAGCTTTGGACAAAGTAGGTTATCCTTAATTTATCAAACAAGGCTAAATGGATTTTTTTAAGGAAAGGTGGGATGTAAACCTAGTTAATCACCATAAAAATAAAAATCCAAAACAACATGTAAGGCAGGGTCTAAGCTAGTCACGAGTTTCTCTCTGTTTTCTTCTCTGTAAGGTTATGCTACTTTCCCTTCAGACAATAGCTGAAAAGTCTGAAGCCATAACCCCCAGCCCAATCATAGGATACCAGGTTAAGAAATGCGAAGTATGTTTTCAGCTCAAGAGGCACGGGAGAAGGGGCTATACTTAAGGGAAGTGAGGGGGGTGGAAGAAGGGGAGGCATGGGGAGAAGTTGGAAGAAGGGGAGGCAAAAAAGAATTCTAACCTCAGATATCGGAAATTGTGCTGGATTTCTGTCTTCAATGTTCAAGCATTTTGGCCTCCAAAGAGCGTCAGACCCTTGACTTGCCTTTGACAACAGTGGAGAAAAGGATGTGGGATACATGGCGAGTCACATCACTTCCTGGGCACACCCACTCGGAGTTGTGGGCTAAGAGCAAAGCACTTCCTCCTATCAGACTTATCTTTCAACTCAGGTGACAGCGTGTCCACTGCTCAGCAGCGAGAACAACTGGTTCCCTTCCAAGGAAAAAAGACTAGGAGACAAACCAAACCCACCGCAGGAGAAAAATATACAGCATAAATTTAATTCAGCTACTATGGAGCACAATTAAATTAAGGAAGGGGATTATTACAGCCAAAGACAGTTCAAGTTTCCAGGTTATTGGTTCTGTGTTATTGGTTTTTTTTTTTCCCCCTCTCATGCGGGGTTGTTTTTTTTTCAGACACAAGGAAGAAATACACGCACACATTTGGGATTTAAACTAGTATATAAACTGCTCTGATCATAAATTAATAATGGGTCATTGACAAAAAGAGATGAAACACCAGCAAGTAAAGAAATCATCAACCACCAACAAAATAAAAATACAAAATTAATAACACAAGTGTCCCAAACACATGCACACATGAAATCCACTAGGAGAAAAGAGGTAGATTTTTGAAGGGGGGGGAATTAATGGAGGAATACATTGAATAAAGGAAGAAGATTGAGTTGACTGCAGGCAGGAAAGGTGGAGGGGCGGGGGGGGGGACTTTTACAGGCATTCCACATCCAGCATCAAGGTCAAAAACTCAATTTTTTCAGAAAATGCCACATATTTTTAAAGAAAAGAAGCATTTTCTGAAATGCAGAAGAAATGTGTCAGGGCCTCCAATGGCTTTTTACAACAGGAGGTGTCCATGCTGGGACAAGGGAAATCTGGAAAGAAGGCAGTCAGGAGAGGCCAAAAGCACACACCAAAGAAGAATTTAGCATCTTATCCCAAAATTTAATTTTATGTGTGTGTGTGGGAGGGGAAACCACTGCTCTTTCTTTGAAGCAATGTTTACTCCAACTCAACATGTCCTTTTGGCCTGTTTAGGGTAACAGAAGGTTGTTTGGGAAGGAGAAAGGGGAAGGAATAAAGGGATATCATTATTGGTGTGCTCTTTTCTATTGGAACCTTCCTCAAAGTTGTGTGGTTTCCCCCCCCCCCCCCCCAGCTATACAGGACAGGTTTAAGGAAGCTACACGGATGTTGTACAGGTTTCTCCAGAAGCTCCTGGAGACCAAAGACAAGTCCTCAAAACAAAACCCTTGGTTGCAGGAAATGTGTGAGCCCCGCTGTAGATTCGAAAAATTGAGCCTTATCTGTTTCTCCCACCTATCCCTGTTTGGGAAATCTTTTAAGGGGAAAGCGATTTGAGGGGAAACACATCCATCCTTAGCCTAAGGCAGTGTTTAGCCTTGTCCGCTTTAAAATGATTAGACTTCAACTCCCAGAATTCCCCAGCCAGAAAGAACAGACGCCCCTCATTTCAAGAACACAAATTCTCTTCGTTCCAACCTGGCCGTCCCTTTTTGGAGGAAGCCAGATAAGATCCCACATGTGTAGGGAAAGGAAAATATTGGTGCAGAGCTAGGGAGAAGGGAAAGAACTCACAAAGACAGTGCCCACAACCCAAGAGTTTTCCAGTGCAGTACAGGAACGGGGGAAGGGAAAAGACACCCATCAGTGGAAAAAAAAAAACCCTTCCCCCAACTTCTCCACTTCCAAATAATAATAATAATATAATAACGACTCAGACACCCCCTTTCCCAAATGTCTGGCCATAAGTCAAAATATTCAAGAGTGCAGGATGAAGGGCAGCGTTTCCCTCTTCTTTTCATCTCTCCGCTGCCGGCAGCAATGCCATCCCTTTGTGTCCTCTGTCCCTCTTCTTCGGTCTTTCTTTTCTTTTTCCGTCATGACCATCCAAGGGGCAGCTTCATCTCTCTTCCTTTCTGGACACCTTGGAAGAATGCCATGCTGTGGAGCTGCCGGGTGGGAGAAAAATTAAAAAAAAAGTATTACAGGTAGTCCTCGACTTACGACCAAAATTGAGCCCAAAATTTCTGCTGCTAAGTGAGACATTTGTTGAATGGGTTTTGCCCCTTTTTATCACCTTTCTTGCCACAGTTCTTAAAGGAATCACTGCAGTTGATAACTTAGTAACCCCGGTTGTGAAGTGAATCTGGCTTCCCCATGGACTTTGCTCGTTAGAGAGACGCAAAAGGTGATCACATGACCCGGGGACACAACAACGGTCATAAACACGAACCCGTTGCCAAGCATCTGAATTTTGATCACATGATCATGGGAAGCTGCAAAGGTCAAAACTGTGAAGAACGGTCATAAGTCCCGTTTTTCAGTACTGTGGTAACTTTGAACGGTCACTAAACGAACTGTTGTAAGTCGAGGAGTACCTGTCCTACCTCCTCTTTCTCCTTCTTTAAAGACAGAGTCCCCAGCCTGTTGGTAAGGGACGGTACAACAAGCCACCAATTTCAGAGACTCACCGGATGAAGGTTTTGAAGGCAGCTGACTGGGGGTTGATGCAGAGTGGGACCCGTTTCCCATGCTGCTGTTCCAAGATAAACCTGTGCACCAGTTCTGAAAAACAAAGAGTACACTTTTATTTGGTCACCCTCAGGGCCACAAAAATCCCCCCCTCCCCAATTTTTGCAGCCCAAATCTGTAGACCTATATTTACATAATACATGTCCCTCTTTTCTTCTCCTCTATTTTTCTATGTATTTTCATTCTGCCTCTCCTCACTCAGGCAAGCCAAGGCCATCACAACTGTTTGGGATAATAGAAGCAGCGAATCACAACTGAATCGCACATTCAGGTGACTTGCCCCGTGGACACTTAGAACTTCACCTGTAGATTCAGATAAAACCCTACTTCTGCAAAATCTTCATCCCCTTTGGGAATCTCCTCCTCCTCCTCCTCCAAAATGAATAGATGCCATTAGAGCTACATGGTTGCACAGGGCAATTGGGAGATGCAGCAACCCAAATGGGATGTGCTTCTGAGCATGAAGTGACACAAAAGGATGTGTTAACGTTTGACTTCTCCATAATTATATAAGATGATACAAAAAAACCCACAGAGGATGAAGAAGAACTGAAATCACAAAGTCTGGTGGAATTCGTGGAAGGATTACGTACATTAATTGCTCTCACGTACTTAGTGTAAGACAGTTAAGATCAATATTTAGCTCCTAAATTAGCAACTAGCAATTGCAATGTCCCAAAGGTGCTTTTTCAAGAGGCACCTGGACTTTCTTGTTTTTCTTGAAGATGTTTCACTTCTCATTCAAGCTTCTTCAACTCTTGCCTCTTGAAAAAGCACCTGAGGGACAACCATGACCTGGATGACTAAGAATCTCCACAGACCGTTAGCAATAGCACTTAAGACTTATATACTGTTTCATAGTTTCATAATCCAGCATTCTAACCACTGCGCCACCACTACGTTAAGAATGGAGCCCTCTAAACACCCCAGGATTTGTGAGGTGGTTTGGACTCAATCAACTACCTTTGACCTGCCAGACAGAAGCAAGGTTCTTTTCGTAAGAGCCGTCAAATTTGGGGTTGGCCCGGGGTTCAAAGTCACTGGTATAAATGCGGCCGGAGGAGACCGAAAAGCAGCAAGTGCACATACAGGTGTGGTATCTCAGTCGCCCTTCATCTAAGTAAGGATGAGAAAGGGCATCCTTGGCCGAGATCCGCTTGGCCTGCAGAAAAAGGAAGGACCATGAGCATCACCGAAAAAGTCCCACTGGAAGAACTCTTATTGTATAGAGGCAGTTCTCGACTTATGACTGTAATGGAGCCTTCCCATTAGTCACAGATCATAACGGTTAAAAATGAGTCAGTCATGTGACCAGCCTGCTTCTATGACTTTTTGTGGCGGTTATTAAATGAACATCATGATTGTTGAGAGATTCATTGTTCGCTATGCCATGGTTTTGCCGAAAACTGAAAGCAAGTGCCATTTTTTTGACAAAACCATCGTAACATGCAGTCATGTGGTCATGGGATACTGCAAACGGCAGTAAATATGGCCATGTTGTTGAGTGCCCCAAATGCAGCCACCTGAACTGTGGTGGCGGTGAAGAACCATCGGAACTTCAGATCCAGGTCATCAGTCCCTTTTATCTGGTAGGTCCTAACTTCGAACGGTTGCTAAGAGTAACTGTCCTAAGTTGAGGACCACCTGTACAATAGTGTTTCTCAACATGCTGGCTGAAGAAACATGGGAGTTGAAGTTCGCACATCTTAAAGTTGCTAAGGTTGAGAAACACTGGTGTACAGTATCGACCAATTAAGAAATCTCAATTTAATACCTGGTTTTGCAAAGAAAGAGGGGTTTTTTTTTCATTTTGTCCATGGCTCCATCCATGACTTCCTAGCAATATGTATACAGAAGAGCTCTTGAGTTATTCTCTTCAGCCAGAGGTCTCCAAACTTGGCCCTTTTCGACTTGTAGACTTCAACTCCCAGAATTCCTCAGCCAGCGTCCACAAGTCATAAAAGGGCCAAGTCTAAAGACCCCTGTCTTAAGCCATGGTGTCTTTTTGGCTTCTGCCTTACTGGAGGACAAACCAGTCCTCCAACAAGACACTAATTTTAACTCTATACACTCCCCCTATAGAAATCCTATTTTAATCAATTTTATTTAATGCATATGTTATCCAGAGTTGCTTCAGATAGTGAGATAGCTGGCATGTAAATTTCATAAATAAAAAAAAATAAAATTTCTGATTACTAAAAGGACCAGACAAATGGAACATATGGCTGAGCTACATCATGTAACAATCACCTCTGATTATAACTTTATAATAAATCCAAGTTTGATTAAATGTTTTCAAGCCTAATCATGTATTGGAGAGTAGTATGTTGCTCAAGAGTTGGCAGATAGGAGTAGCCTGTAAGGACAGTGACCATATATTCTTGGGAAAAACAAAGAACAAATCTGAAAAAGGGGCAAATCTGAATGAAGACCAGAAAGGAACTGAAAAGATTAAAACAAATCCTCAATTTACAACCCTCAACTCATTTAGTGACCATTCGAAGTTACAACGGGATTAAAAAAAAGTGACTTATGACTGTTTTTCACACTTACGACCATTGCAGCAGCCCTGTGGTCATGTGATCAAAATCCGGATGCTTGGCAATTGGTTCATCTTTATGACAATTGCAGTGTCCCGGGATCATGTGATCACCTTCTGACAAGCAAAGTCAGTGGGGAAGACAGATTCCCTTAACAACTATGTTACTAACTTAACAACTGCAGTGGTTCACTAAGCAAGTGTGGCAAGAAAAGTTGTAAAATGGGGCAAAACTCACTTAACAAATTTCTCACTTAGCAACATAAATTTTGGACTCAATTGTGGTCGCAAGCAGAGGACTACCTGTTAATTCTTTAGGTTTATAAGGAGACAGCCAGCATCGCTTTCATTCCAGTGTATATTGTCTTAAGGCACACAAAATTTGATCAAAAATGCTTACAATGCTCAGAAAATAAACTTCTGTATTTGCAAATGGTTGCTAACTGAGATTGCCACTAAGTGAGGAGTGGATGTATACTGTCTCTATCATTTGGCATATCTGAGGGTTTATCTCTACCTCTTCAATTTTATGCCCCTAACAATTGGAACGATAGCAAGGTGAATGTGAGAGAGAAAGAGAGACAACCTGATTAGTCTAAAGCAGGGGTAGTCAACCTTGGCTCTTTTATGACTCGTGGACTTCAACTCCCAGAATTCCTGAGCCAGCTAAGCTGGCTCAGGAATTCTGGGAATTGAAGTCCACGAGTCATAAAAGAGCCAAGGTTGACTACCCCTGATCTAAAGTTTTCCTTGGACTACATGGCCAACTCACTGGATCAAAGATCAACATCCGGCAGAGCAAATGCACAGCTTCGTGGGTGGCTTCTCCAGAGAGCATGTAAAGGACAGACAACGATGGCTAAGGGGAAAAAAAATGCCAAGCGTTAAAAGGCTTCCTTTGTTCCCATGGCTCTTACCTTCCCAGCCCTGGGTACTCACCGGCTTGTGACTGCCACGCAGGATGTGGGCCCGGGCCCCCTCACAGGCTGAACGGAGGGCACCAATGGGAGGAGTCCCCAGGAGATCTGTAATCAGGTCCAACTGCCACCCGTAGATCAAAGGAAGAAGAAGAAGGAGAAGAAGGAGAAGAAGGAGAAGGAGAAGGAGGAGGAGGAGGAGGAGGAGGAAGAGGAGGAGGAGGAGGAGAAGGAGAAGGAGAAGGAGAAGGAGAAGGAGAAGGAGAAGGAGAAGGAGAAGGAGAAGGAGAAGGAGAAGAAGAAGAAGAAGAAGAAGAAGAAGAAGAAGAAGAAGAAGAAGAAGAAGAAGAAGAAGAAGAAGAAGAAGAAGAAGAAGAAGAAGAAGAAGAAGAAGAAGAAGAAGAAGAAGA